GGCGTTGAACAAAAGTTGTTCATCTAAGACACTTTGTACTAATACTATTGATAGTAGACGTCATAGTTCCATCTTGTGAGTTGGGCATTTATCAAGGTTTTTCAGCACTAGTGAGAATATAAAGGTAGCGAGCCAGCGATTAAATTGTTCTTCCATCTTTTCAAAGTGCAAAGTGGTTCTAAGACTAAGAATGATTTTTGTTTGATTTTCCCGAGGTAGAATGCTAAGTACTTTGAAACATATTTTGATAGTGTGAAACATTTTAAGGATAATTTCTTCCTAGTATATCCTCTCAACTGTAAAGCCCATTAAAAATCTATTGAATGGATCTTGTTGTTTCGTCTCCATGTATGAATATTTTTCGCAAATATTGGACTCAAAGCCATTTTCTTAATGGATTCGTGATGTTTCATTGCCGAGAAGAAGATTTTTCTGAAGAAGATTTATACTTAAAATGCCAACTAGTGACTTTTTTCTAAGAACCCGAATATGTAGGTAGGGTGGTTCTAATCGACCTGGCCTCCAAGACTCACCTGAAAAGAAGCATTCAAACTCACTGGATTATAGATGCCAAGTCCAAAGATTAGAGGAAGAAAATATTTGGTAATGTTATATGACATTGTCTTCTTCAGACACCATGAAGAATCAAGATGTTATATGACAACTGAAGAAAGAGATTCAAGCCATTGTTGTTTCAAATGGGATTCCAAACACACCCTCATCCAATGGAGTTTTTTCTTTGAGTACCTCTGTTGGGACTCATTGTGACCTGGTCGTCAAATAGATAGTGCAAATAGTTACTCTTGTGTTAGAACGTCATCATGGTTTCTCTTAATTGCGCCGTGGTGCAAGAAGTTTTTCTGACTCCTAGTCTAGAGAGAGAATGGAGTTTTTTTTTTCCTATCCTAGAATTAAAAGAGGCCCGAGATTAATGTCTTCTTCTCAAGCACCCCCAATGGTCCAGATCTGTGGGTGGATCATCTTTATCACAAAAGGATACCAACCATGTGTTGTTAGTATGTCTGAGTCTGAGGATGGGTAATGAATATTGTCCTTCAATCTTTGATGAAGATTATTCCTATTTCTCGGGGCTCTTTGATGAAGCCCATTAGAGGGAGTTAAATGAGTTGGTCTATCATGCTTGTCAATAATCTATTGTTATAGCTTTTGGTGTGGCTGGTTAAGAAGAAGTTTTCTTATCTGACTGTCTTTGCAAAGAAAGAGAAAGGTTGAAGAAGCAGGTTGGTGACCTTACCCTTGAGAGGGACAAATGTCTGGAGGAATTTCAATATGTTTCCAATTTTTTTCTTGCCATCGAAATTGCTTTGGGCCCCTTCGGGTATCCTGATTATTTTGGAAGTTGCTTATAAGGGAATGGCGAGTTGGAGACGAATATAAAATAGTCTCAAGATAATCAAAGAAAAATTGAGGTTGGCCTTAACAAAATGCGTGAGAAGAATCTTTATCTTTGTAAAAAGTTAGCCAAATACATGCAAGAGGGTTTCTTTATGTTCGGGGACACTTTTGAGAATGTGCTCCAATAAGTGGAATTTTTTTATTCAATCAGTCCAATTTCTTAATGACGCCGGTGAGTTTGAGTCCATCACATGTTGACCTGTAATATATATGTAAGTATATTTTTTTTTCTCTTATTTATTTCTTAACTTGTACCTGTTTTGTGGTATTGTTTGGGTTCTAAACCTTTACCTATAGGGTTCAAATTTCCTCCCTATATTGTTTTCTTGGGAGACTGTCTTTTCTTTGGGAATTCTTCTTTTCTCCTCTTACCATCTTTGTATATTCATACACCCGTCCTTTTTTAGTAAGCCCTTAATTCACATATTTATTATGGATACCATATTTGGTATTATGGTCGTGACTTTTGTGAAAATAATAATATTTTTATCCTTCAGTACATGAGGATTCTCTATCCAGGCATAAGTTTCTTATCCCAACTTTCTTGAATTATGTATTGGCACACTCTGTCGAATCCTCTCGAGAATATTTTGGTTATGAGGGTGTTGTAATCTCAATATGATGATAAAATATGGTAGAGTAAAATTAGAATACATAACACTTCACGCCACAACAAGGTATCATATGATTCACGACGATAACTACTTCAATCGTTGGCAATTTTTATGTTTGAGATTCCTTGGACCTTGTACGTAGCGATCTAGGAACCATGGTACTATATGATCTCCGCTTATCGCTTGGAGATTCTTCGCCATATGGAGGAGGTATTTTGGTGCAAAATTAAGTCAAAATTGTCACGACAGGGATCTCGTTGATGACAGATAATTGAGGCGATACAAATTTGGAAGGCTAATTAAAGATCCTCCTGGTGATATTGGAGGTAACCACCTCTATCTCTCGGTGATTTTGACACAGATCTGAGTTTCGAAGATTAATTTTGACATCCTATAACATAAATATAGTCGAAATCACATTTTTTTTTCAAAAAGTTGTATCTTAAAAATGATTTTTATGAAAAACTATTTGAAATAATTTCAAAATTAAAAGATATTTCAAAATTCTGATATTAAATTTATTTTTAATAAAATGATGAAACATCTAGAATAACGCATTAAAAATAAGTATTCAAATTTATTTGAAATTTTATTAAAAGTTTCTTTGTTAGTTTTTTTACACAAAAATTATAGTATTTTATAAAAATAATTAAAAAAAAATAAACAGTAGGTTAATGTTAATGTCAGACAACTTTTTGAATATTCTAGATTAGATATAAAATTGATCTTAGATTCACTCAATTTAACTTAAGAGACTAATCAATTTTTTTCTTAAATTTTTATATATAAATTAGATATTTTTTACGCACAATTATAAAAATTAATCTTTTAGGGATAAACACAACTTTCCTTTCAATTTGATCTAGATTTTATTTTTTATTTATTTTTGTTGGATATTAATGCCACAAGTTTTTTTGTGTGTTCTAAATCAAATATAGGACCAGTTTTCTATTCAACCGGCTCAACTAGCCTGTCCGGTCCCGGCTTTCATTAATACGTTATTGACCAATGTTAAAATTTCAAAATTTAAACTAATATTTGATTTTAAAATATATCAATTTTAGTAATTTATTGAAATATTGTATTTGAGTAAATAAAAAATTACACGAATTACCGAAATGCTAGAAGCACTATTAATAACGTACATACACATCTCTTCTTAAAGCACTAACCACTCTGCCCTGTCCCTTTCGTTTCCCAGATCTGCTTCTCCCACAGCCACCCACAGGTAACTATCTCTTCCCCTTTTTTCAATCTCCAATTAGGGTTTGTAAATCATTCAATTGCATCGATTTTCATCCAACTTTCGCTGAAATTTCTACGTTTTTCTACTGGATCTGAAACCCTCTCTCCTTGTACGCAATTCTCATAGATCCATTTAGATGCTTACTCTCATTTGTTCAGATCTATTTTCAATTTTTGTTTTGGTATTTTCTTAGTTTACTTTTTGTTTATGAGCGTGTTTTAGATGATTTTGATGTAGTGTAATTTTATGCTTTTGCGGATGAAATTTAATTGGATTTGATTCGTTGCTTAGGGCTTATGCTGTGAAAAATGGGAATGAATGACGATACTGTTCTACTAGATTAGAGATGCATTCAATCGTTTAGAGACTTGAAGGTAGGGATTCCTGAAAGAAGGGGAAAATAGGGCTTTATTATGAAATGGGAAAGGTAAGGCATAGAAGGAGAGATGACAGGAAAATAGAAATGGTTAAGATTGGACCATATATATTGATCCTGTGCATGTGTGGTCTATGAAGCATGAATAGAGACATCTATCCCGATACTAACACGTCGACATTAATAATTTGAAAAAATAAATAAATTGAATGATAGTCACAAGTATTGGTGTTGGTGTCGGTCATTGACGTGAACACGCTTTTTTCAGATGTGTCGGTGTTACAACGTGTGGTTCGTTTAGAGTACTATGTAGGAACGGTCAATGGAAACATAAATGCTTCCATTTGGCTTGGCGTAGCCAAAGAGTATTTAGAAAATGTGAGTTAGAGTTCACGCCTCTAAATCTACAGATCCTATCAATGCTTTGATTATGATCTTTTGAAGTCATTCAAATGCTAGTTGTTTTTTTAAATGTTAACTTTCTTTTGTTAACACTAGAAATATATAATATCTGATACTTTTCCTCCCATTTTCAAACAAATCCACGAGAATGAAGGGTAGGGTATGTAAGGATGTGGGAGGGGAAGATAGAGATTTCTCTGCTAGTCAGGAATAATCACAATGAAAGAAATTAGTGTTAGTTCCATTTTAGAATTCTGTTCTTGCTGCCTCTGCTGTATTGTAGATAGATAATTGGTTATGATATGTCTTTAAATATTCTTAACGGAGAAGAATTATGGTAGTACCAAGTTATATGGTGAAGTAGGAGATATCCTCTACCCCAAGTGCTCCTATTCCCCTTTAGACCCTTGTTTATAATCAATTTCATTTTCAAATGATTGCCCACATCACAACATAACCTGTCCCCAACCCCTCAGAGACCTGTTGCTATTCTGTTATTTCTCTTCCCCATCCAGCAAGATGTCTGCCCTCTTCTTTGTCTCATACACATTTGGACCTTTATCATTATCACTGGGTTTATGTGGGCTCCTTCCCCTTTACACCTTGGTTAGGGGCTTATCAAATTACTCGATCAAATGACTCTAGATTAAGAAGTCTATGGTAGGTGAACATAGAAAGTGTCAGGAAGATTTGGGGATCATGATGTTAATTTTTTGACTTGTTCATTTCATTTGTAATTTATTATCACCAAACTTTGGAGTTGTTATTTATGGCCAAGCCTCCTATGTAATAAGAAAATGTAAAATAATGTGCTTGTTGTTTGAATGCAGAGTTATTTGATTAATTTCCAGTGTATATTATGAAGTAATTCTAAGTTTTTTGCAATCTTGTTCATTCATGTGATTGCAGAGACTAGATTTTACATTTCAGAAAGGAGTTGTAAGACATGGGTCGTGGAAATAGCAGTGGTGGTGGTCAAAGTTCACTGGGTTACCTTTTTGGAAGTGGAGAGGCCCCAAAACCCGCAACAACTAATGCACAACCTCCTGCAGTGCATGTAGATAATGCACCCCCTTCAAAAGCAGCAGCGGCTCGTACAGCAATAGACCCAAACAAGCCTGCTGGTATCAATAGTAATTCTATTGATGGACTGAACACTGGCAACTTCATCACGGTATTAGTTCTGCTTGTTATATATAAGTTCTCTTACATGTTAAGCATTATTAGAGTGATAGTTCAAGCTCGAATTGCCTTGCAACACCATGAATATGAAAATACTGAGGAATTAAATCTGGTGCAGTGCACACACCTGTGAATTAGATATGGTAGTTTAGTATATTTGAGTATCCCAAGTATATTTGGCGGTATTTTTTTTGCAATGAACTCGTCTAGAATATGTCTAGACCATGTGAAAGTAGATAGGTAGCCAAGTATATCTGGTAGTATTGTTTTGTTGCATAGAACTCGTCTAGACCATGTAAAAGAAGATATGGTAGCTTTTATTTGACTATCCAAAGTATATTTGGTTGTATTTTTTGTTGCAATGAACTTGTCTAGACCATGTGAAAGTAGATACGGTAGCTTAGTATATTTGACTATCCCAAGTATATTTGGTTGTATATTTTGTTGCACCGAACTTGTCTAGACCATGGTTTTTTTTACTGAAGGTCACAACATATGTTGAAGGAAATAAAATAATGTTACAGATCAACACTGACCTTTGTGTTCATACTTCATAATGCTTAAGGTTGATTTCCCATCGGTTGAGGTTGATTCTTGATCGTATTTAAGCTGTAATATGAAAATGACGTGAAAGGCATATGTCTTGTTATGTAAACTGAACTCAACCCTGTATTGTATGTAGGCGACTGGTATTTAATTTAGTGGAACAGTGTTTTATTTTATTTTTGTTATCTTGCAAGTTGCGACTACATTAAGACAATAGTTCCCCAAACAATGAAAGCTGGCTTAGATTTCTCTTGAATTATTTTGATTGACAAGTTTTTATTTATTTGGCTGCAGGACCGACCCTCTACCAAGGTTCATGCTGCTCCTGGTGGTGGCTCTTCTCTGGGTTATCTATTTGGTGGCGGGCCTGGGGATGGAAAATAATATTGTGTCTGAGAACCTTTTCTTGAGAATATTCTCTTTTAAAATTCAAGTTGTGTGAACAAAATGGGTGATGTATTATAGGTCATGGTTGTTGGGATAAGTGGATCAAGAGTGTTATATTTTAGATGTGCTTAACATCAATTACAGAGCCGTGTTTGTCAAACAAGTTTATTATCAATTCAACATTTGCTTTCAGTTCTGTATTTTTATGCTTTCATCTAGTTCTTTTTCTTTATTATTAATACACCCTCTTAATGCCTCCACTGCCATCCAACAGGCCATCCGACAGGGTTATTGTTCCAAACAATGAAATCCTTTGCCACTTAGCATGGGAATGATATCATTAATTTGACATTAAAAAAAAGACAATAAAAAGTTTTTAAATTTTTTATTTTTATGATTTTATTTTTCTTTGCGCCATTAGTATCTAACAGCTTGCTGAATCGATGCAAATTTGCAAGTGGGGAAGTTAATGACATTGAAAGATTAATATGGAGACATGTTATTGCAACATTTGTTAGAAATTCTTTCAATTGCACTGGTCGATGTTGAAAACATAATATAAATTAATTCGTAAAAAACTAAGTTTAATTTGAAAATGCTTCAAACTTAGAAAACCATAGATGCTAATGAAAAATATAAAAAATGAGCTTATTAACCTTTATATTGAGTCACTGGAAAATAGAATAGAACTATAAGTAAAATTACAATTACTCTTTCTTTCCACACTAAATCACCATCAAGAAAGTGCTGTGAAGTTTCTTACTCACATAGCAACATAAATCATGAAACCAATTTCAGATGGACACACATAAAGGAATTGCAGGTACATTATTGTTTCTACATTAACAACACTTTCCAAGTGTTGATAAAAATAGAAATTTCTACGAAGTTTCTCAAGTTCTATAAATAACCCGTTTTATCTCAAACATTTCTTCAAATCATTTTCCCTCCTCATATCAACCAATATGGGTTTGCAAGGGCCTGATATTGAAAAGATCATTCATTTCCTCTCTATATGTGTCCTTGCATTCATCAATGAAGGCTCTTCCTCTCTTTCTAGTAACTTCATAAATTCACAATGGTCATGGGGTCTAAGTATTCCAATAAGCTTATACTTCAAATTTGCACTTGAGCTTCATACTCATTTAGGAATCTGTGTTGGGATTGGAGTACCCTCTTTAGTTTATTGGGGTGCAACTCGCTGCCCAATAGATTGGTATTGGGAAACAGTCATTCATTTCAATGTTGAAATCATGAAAACTGGTCTCTTCAACATTGTTATTGGTTTGTTACATTTATTCGTCTCGAAGTTAATCCATCGTTTAATCGAGTGGATAAACGATCGCAAAATTAAAGTAAAAGGGTTGTCGTTTCTTTTCCCTACAACGAATTCTGAGATTGAAAAATCAAACTTTTCCGAACATTCTTCACTTAGGCCATTTTCTACCAATGAAATATTAATAAAGCTGGTTGAAGCACTTGTTTCTTTGTTTTTCAATGGAAATGTATTGCTTTTAAGTTGGTGTTTTTCTGGACAGATTTACACTCATGAAGTTGGTAAAGCTATATCATGGGTTGGTTTGGGAAGTTCCATGTTTGTGTGGATTAAGGCTATACTTAAGAATCCAAAAATGCCACAGGTAACAACATCTGATGAGAAAGTGTACAAGGTGGAAAAGAATCAAAATTGTTCATTTGATGAGAAGAAAGTGTCCAAGGATCAAGAACTAGTAACTTGTTCGTTAGAATGTTGAATGATAAGTTGATAAGTGATGGTGTTTGTTGGTTTACTAAATAAGGTGGAAATTGTGTTGATGATTGCTTTTCAAGTGTATTAGTTATATATTATAATGCATGATCTTTTGTGTGTGTATATATATGTCTTGTTATGTGAGTAGTATGGGACATGGATTGTTGAAAGAATTTCTTTAAGGTGTCTAAAGTAAGACATGAGTTACTAGAGTGAAATAAAGGCTTATAGAATTATGAAAATCTTTAACCCTATCAAATGTATTTGTGTAGAACCAAATTATTTAGCTAGATATCAACCTTTTCATTTTGAATTTATTTCAAATAAGAAAACTCTTTTTCCAATAATAGAACAATTGTTTCTCTTGTTTGAACCATGTTCTAGGTTTTAATTATAAAAAAATAAGAAATTGTATTTAATTTTTTTAAAAATTATTTTAAATATCTAAAAAAAATCAATAAAACATCGATACTATGTTTACACATATCATAAATTTATATGATTCTTGTTAATTATATTTTAACATATAAAAATTTATAATAACAATCAAATATAGTTTTATAATGAAATATTTAAAAAATCAAATATAGTGCGTAACCACCGATAGGTTTGGAAGTTCAGATTTTATAAAAATAGAAAGAGTAGAAACTCCCGTTGTCAAAGCCCAAATTGAAGAGAATGTAAGAAGATCAACAAGGTAAAGAAGTTTTCCTCAAAAACTCTAAGATTGTGAGCTGTTCCGAAACAACTGTTAGACAATAGGTTTCAATCTAGAGAGGCGGGGGAGGGGTTGAAATATACCACAGGTTAAAAACTTTTGGCAAAAATAAATTTGAAAAGTTTTATGGCATAGCGGAAACAACCCGAACGTATGATAATAAACCGAAACTGTTCAACAACTATTAATCACAAACAATTGAATGTTAAGCTATACGAAGAGCTTATTCCCAATGATCGAAACACACAAAAACACAATAAAGAAATTTATTGAACACTTTGTGTGCAATCAATGTCGTTTGAAAATTTTCTTTGTTTTGTTGATTTTAAAAATCAATCACAATCAAACGAATTATGATCATATAAACAAAATCTAATTTCAAATGTGATAAGAAATAATTCCCAAACGAATTGATCAAACGAACAATAAATTCAATAATTTGCAAACATAAAATAAAGAGAGAGAGAGAGAGAGAGAGAGAGAGAGAGAGAGAGAGAGAGAGAGAGAGAGAGAGAGAGAGAGAGAGAGAGAGAGAGAGAGTACACAAGGATTTATTTAGGCAGTTCCCTAATCGGCCTCAATATGGACACGTCTGTCCTTAATTTGAATTCGAATTGAGATATTATAATATATCTTACTTTGCAAATGTGTGTATACAAGAGATGAAGAACTATAACCTTACAAACCCTAGGTTTGTTGTTGATTCTACCACCTCAAAAATCTTTGATCAATGATTGATCGGGTAACCAACAATGCAACTTCAATTCACTTATTCTTGCTACTTCCTTGCAAGGCACCCCTTGTCTCAAGGCTTTCACCCGATTGAATTAATCACAAGTGCACACTTGTTGAAATTCAAGATTTACCAACACGATCCACTGTATCATGCTACTACCTTGCAAGGTACCCCTTGTCCCAAGACTTTCACCCGATCGGATCCGAATTGCGAAATCTTGTCCAAAACCTTCAAATCCTCAGCGATCTTGAAGGAAAACCCCAACTCGGTTTTCTTATTTGAAATCCTCAAAGTTCTCAATTCAATATTCTCGGCACAACAACCTAATTGAATGTTATCAACCCTAATCTATATGGTCATCCAATCAAATAATGATTATGTGTAGTTTGATTGCGTGTATGCATAGAAGAGAGGTTGAAGATGATGAGAATGCTTTAAAATCCTGATTTTGTATAGGTTTACTCTAGAACCTTACTAAAAATGATGCATGTATTAAATATATATATATATATATATATATATATATATGTGTGTGTGTGTGTGTGTGTGTGTGTGTGTGTGTGTGTGTGTGTGTGTGTGTGTGTGTGTGTGTGTGTGTGTGTGTGTGTGTGTGTGTGCGCGCGCGTGTGCGTGTGTGTGTGTGTGTGTGTGTGTGTGTGTGTATGTGTGTGTGTGTGTGTGTGCGTGTGTGTATGCAAGTATGGAAGCAAAAGAATGGACAAAATTGTGATATTTGAAAAAATGCATCATATGAGTCGACCTATGAAAGTTATAGGTCGACCTATGAAGGTCTTTGTGTCGACCTATGAAGGTCTTAGGCCGACCTTGAAGGTCTTGTATCGACCTTGTATTGATCTATATCAGTCAACACATGGAAAAAGCCTACATGCTTTAATACTGCAGCATGTGTGTCGACCTATAGGTTTTAAAACTTTCCTATATGTCGAATTGAAGGCTTTATGTGTCGACCTATGCTGTAATGCTTTCATAAAAACTCTATTTTCAATGCATTTTTGATGTATGAACCTTTTCCAAAACATTTTAATGCTTCCTGATGCTAAGATGCATAAATAGAATCAGAGGATACCATCCAATATACATTAGCGCTAAAATATCATAGTTTTGACAAAATTCAAAATATATCTACCGAAAAGTTGCACTCACATACTCCCTTTTTTTATGATGTCAATACTTGAGACGATGTATTTCGTGACGTTTTTCGTGTCTTCATGAAGACTCCCCTGAATGTATGCATCCAACTTCATCTTGTAGATGCTTCTCCTCCTTTGACAATATTAAAAAGAGACAAAGCAAACCATGAGAAGTATCTTAAATCATAAACAATCCAATATACCATACAAAGGCATTTTGAAAAGATAAGAACATCAACATAATAACACTCACGTAGAATGATTGTCACATTAAAATAGGTTGCCTAAACATAAATATAAACATATTAAGCAACAATAGAACATACTTGCTTCACTTTATATCAAATAACATAACAAAAACATGAAAAATGAAGGATACAATGTAATAAAAAAACTCTTGAGTTTGCTACGAAAGCGACACAATTACACGACATATGCCTTTGGTGCTCCCGAAATGCTACACGCGCTTGTGCTATAGCAAGGCAATAGATAGATTTATCACTACTCAAACCAAAAACAGAGGTGTTATCATAACAATGACACACGACAAATTTTTTTGCTAACATTATAACATGTCCAACCATATTTCATGCAAGAACACATAATAAGCTAAGTGCACCAAGAGTATATTTCAAGCATATAGATGGAATAACACAAAAACCATATAAGCATATAATTGACATAAATCGATCGAAATTTTTGGAAGTGAATATTCATGAACTACTTCATACATTAAGAATATCAATTATTTAGAACACAAACAACATGCAAAAATAAAAGCTTACTTACATAAGGAAAAATAAAATGGAACAGTTTTCCTTGCTTATGAGTTGATGAAGGATGAACTTTTATGTAATGAAACTTCCAAGGAAAGTTAGAGCAAAAAAAAAAAATGCATGCAACAATTCATATTTAGGCAAGATTTTAGATATCAAATATTTCCAATTTCCTTCGAATGTTGAAAAATGGCTCGGTCGCAAGAGGTTTTATAAAAATATCCGCAAGTTGATTTTTACTATCAATGTGCTCAAATACGACGTTTCCTTTTTCAACATGGTCACATAGGAAATGGTGATGAATCTCAATATGCTTAGTGCGAGAATGTAACACCGGATTTTTAGCCAGATTAATAGCACTAATATTGTCGCACATAATAGGAATACGTTGTAATTTTATATTAAAATCAAGTAATTGTTGTTTGAGCCATAAAATTTGAGCACAACAATTACCGGTGCTACGTATTCTTCCTCGGCGGTTGGAAAAGCAACACAAACTTATTTCTTGCTATGCCAAATTACTAAGGCATTTGAAAACATGTGGCAAGTTTCACTGGTACTCTTCATATCTAATTTGCAATTGACAAAATCAAAATCGGTGTAACCAACCAAGTTACAATCACTTCCCTTATAATACTAAAGCCTATATTTAGAAGTACCATGAAGATACTTAAGAATGCGTTTTACGGATTTTAAGTGAGGTTCCTTAGAAGTCGATTGATAATGAGCGCACATACCCACACTAAACATAATGTTCGGCATAAATGCAGTAATATATAGAACTGAACGAATCATACCTCTATATTTTTTCACGTCTACATCCTTACCATTTTCATTCTTTTCCAAGTTTCCATTTCTGGCCATATGAGTGTCAATGGATTTTGCATCTTCCATGCCAAATATCTTTAGCAAGTCTTTGAAATATTTGGTTTGACATACAAATGTACTTTCAAGTCTTCTGAAGAACCAATCTGAATCCAGGAATAAAATTAATTATGGAAGAGATAGAGATAACTCAAATCTGTTGACTAGAGAATTCATCTCAAGTTTGGTTTGAACAACACAGAAGAAAACAATTAAAAAAAGAAACTAAACAAGACTCTAAGAGAATAGTAATCTTATCAGAAGAACAGAAAGAAGACACGAAATAATGTTTCACAAAGATAGGGGATAAAGATGATAGAATTATATAAAAGAAAATATCATTACCCTAAGGTTCTTACCCAACAGATTTCTTGCACCCACCAGATGATAATCAATTTTATGGAGTTTTAATTAAACATAGTTTTTGAAAATATTTTTACTAAAACTAATTTATCATAAGTAAAGATTCCTTTTTTGAATCTTAGAGACTGATAATTTTTCAGAAGCTATCTGTCATCAGATTCTAGTAGGATTAGACTTCGAGTGAGACATCTTGTGTTAGTCATTAGTCCTTGATATTCTATTCAGAATCAAGCCTTTTCTCTTGGAACTAGAGTCATGCTTGATTAATTAATATTAAATTGGCTTCTTTGACAACTAACTACCAATAATATCATCACAAAAGGTGAAGGTATTGATTCTATAAATATGATTATCACCTAGTTAATGAGATATTCAGTATAGACAAATACAACACAT